TGTTAGTGAACACATAAAGGCTCTATAACAGTTCAGGGAGTAACAGTCAGCCAGTAAACAGCTCTCTGAGGGCAGGGAGGTTTAAACAAGCACACAGATATATATATATATATATATATATATACACACACACACACACACACACACACACACACACACACACACACACCAAACACACACACACACACACACACACACACCACACACACACCACACGCACGCACGCACGCACGCACGCACGCACACACACACACACCACACACACACACACACCTACACACACACACCACACACACACACACCCCCCACAAAACACCCCAAAAACCACAGGGGGGGAGGAAACCCAAAACGGGTTTTTAAAACAAGTTTCAGAAGCACCAAATTTTTTTAGAAAGAAATCGTTTCAACCCTGGAGGGATTTAAAATCAGTTTGTGTTCCTGTTCTGTTTTCAGCCAGGGCAGGGCCCCGCTTCCCCCGGGGTCAGAACTCAGATATAATGAAAAAGGGGGATCAATTTAAAAAACTACAACGCTAGCAGCATGTTAGCAGTTAGCATTGAACTGACAATTGAAACGGGGGAAAACTAACATTCTGCCAGCATTTATCACGGCTAGTGAAAAAAAACACACCTTATATGTAGCAAGTAAGGAAAGGGAAAACCAAAAACTACCTTATCAGTAGCATAGTTTGAGGAAACAAAAACTACCCCTTTCATTAGCATAGCTAGAGGGAAAACCCAAAAAACCCTTTTCTGTAGCATAGGGTAGAGGAAAAACCCAAAAACTACCTTATCATGTAGCATAGCTAGAGGAAACCAACACTACCTTATCATGTAGCATAGCTAGAGAAACCAACACTACCTTATCATGTAGCATAGCTAGAGGAAACCAACACTACCTTATCATGTAGCATAGCTAGAGGAAACCAACACTACCTTAGCATTTTTTTTTTTGTCATTTAGCAGACGCTCTTATCCAGAGCGACTTACAGTTAGTGATTGCATACATTTTCATACTGCCCCTCCGTGGGAAACGAACCCACAACCCTAGCGTTGCAAGCGCCATGCTCTACCAACTGAGCTACAGGGACCTACCTTAGCATTTAGCATATCTACAGGGAAACATTTACATTTACATTTTAGTCATTTAGCAGACACTCTTATCCAGAGCGACTTACATTATTTTTATTTTTTTTAATTTTTTTTTATACTGGCCCCCCGTGGGAATCGAACCCACAACCCTGGCGTTGCAAATGCCATGCTCTACCAACTGAGCTACATCCCTGCCGGCCATTCCCTCCCCTGGACGACGCTGGGACAATTGTGCGCCGCCCCATGGGAAACCAACACTACCTTAGCATTTAGCATATCTACAGGGAAACCAACACTACCTTAGCATTTAGCATATATACAGGGAAACCAACACTACCTTAGCATTTAGCATATCTACAGGGAAACCAACACTACCTTAGCATTTAGCATATCTACAGGGAAACCAATACTACCTTAGCATTTAGCATATCTACAGGGAAACCAATACTACCTTAGCATTTAGCATAGCTAAAGGGAAACCATCAGGGACATCATTTTACCACCACAGCTAGAGCTGTTACAGTGACCGTATTACCGCCACACCGGCGGTAACGAGTCATAACCGCAGTCACATTCCACCTGACCGTTTAGTCATGATAACTAGGCCTCTACAAGCTCCTCTACAAGATGGTCATTAGTAGCTGGTGGTCATTAGTAGCCTACCAAACTTGCTAACTGCCTGGTACGCAGCACTCTATTGTCCCTCTAATCACTCTGACCATCAATGCAAATGTGTTCGAAAATCAAATCAAACACTTCATGAGAGCCCATGAGCTCATGTTGAGCAACATTTCTATAGTCTTTGCAATTGCGTGACAAAACACAGTTTTGATGGCCTCTACTAAAAAGAGGAGGATCCCATCAGCTTTCTATAGGCTAGGCCTACTATATTTATTTCTCTACTTTCCTAATATTACACTTTTTTCAAATCATCATTAGAGTCGCATCATGCAGCCTTAAAAAGTATTAAAAATCAAAACATATAGCCCAACGTTTGTATCACAACAAAAAGTTGCATAAGTAACTCTAAATTAAGCATATAGGAGGACCTGTTTCTTTGTTAACTGCTCAACACAGAATAGCCGCATGTGCGCACTCCCTCGGAAATCGTTTGTAGAAAATATCCTTTCTATTTTATTCAGCTATGTTCAATTATATTCTTCATACTATAAAATAATATAAAATAATGTCACAGAATTCTAAGCAAATCTTGTCTGCTAAATGAACTAGTGTAGCCCACAGCCATACAGTGAGGGAAAAAAGTATTTGATCCCCTGCTGATTTTGTACGTTTGCCCACTGACAAAGAAATGATCAGTCCATAATTTGAATGGTAGGTTTATTTGAACAGTGAGAGACAGAATAACAACAACAAAATCCAGAAAAACGCATGTCAAAAATGTTATAAATTGATTTGCATTTTAATGAGGGAAATAAATATTTGATCCCCTCTCAATCAGAAAGATTTCTGGCTCCCAGGTGTCTTTTATACAGGTAACGAGCTGAGATTAGGAGCACACTCTTAAAGAGAGAGCTCCTAATCTCAGTTTGTTACCTGTATAAAAGACGCCTGTCCACAGAAGCAATCAATCAATCAGATTCCAAACTCTCCACCATGGCCAAGACCAAAGAGCTCTCCATGTCAGGGACAAGATTGTAGACCTACACAAGGCTGGAATGGGCTACAAGACCATCACCAAGCAGCTTGGTGAGAAGGTGACAACAGTTGGTGCGATTATTCGCAAATGGAAGAAACACAAAAGAACTGTCAATCTCCCTTGGCCTGGGGCTCCATGAAAGATCTCACCTCGTGGAGTTGCAATGATCATGAGAACGGTGAGGAATCAGCCCAGAACTACACGGGAGGATCTTGTCAATGATCTCAAGGCAGCTGGGACCATAGTCACCAAGAAAACAATTGGTAACACACTACGCCGTGAAGGACTGAAATCCTGCAGCGCCCGCAAGGTCCCCCTGCTCAAGAAAGCACATATACAGGCCCGTCTGAAGTTTGCCAATGAATGAGGAGGAGGAGGAATGCTGCCTATGACACCAAGAACACCATCCCCACCGTCAAACATGGAGGTGGAAACATTATGCTTTGGGGGTGTTTTTCTGCTAAGGGGACAGGACAACTTCACCGCATCAAAGGGACAATGGACGGGCCATGTACCGTCAAATCTTGGCTGAGAACCTCCTTCCCTCAGCCAGGCATTGAAAATGGATCGTGGATAGGTATTCCAGCATGACAATGACCCAAAACACACGGCCAAGGCAACAAAGGAGTGGCTCAAGAAGAAGCACATTAAGGTCCTGGAGTGGCCTAGCCAGTCTCCAGACCTTAATCCCATAGAAAATCTGTGGAGGGAGCTGAAGATTCGAGTTGCCAAACGTCAGGCTCGAAACCTTAATGACTTGGAGAAGATCTGCAAAGAGGAGTGGGACAAAATCCCTCCTAAGATGTGTGCAAACCTGGTGGCCAACTACAAGAAACGTCTGACCTCTGTGATTGCCAACAAGGGTTTTGCCACCAAGTACTAAGTCATATTTAGCAGAGGAGTCAAATACTTATTTCCCTCATTAAAATGCAAATCAATTTATAACATTTTTGACATGCGTTTTTCTGGATTTTGTTGTTGTTATTCTGTCTCTCACTGTTCAAATAAACCTACTATTAAAATTATAGACTGATCATGTCTTTGTCAGTGGGCAAACATACAAAATCAGCAGGGGATCAAATCCTTTTTTCCCTCACTGTATGGTATAGCCAGATCAGGGCCTAACATAAGGACAACTCAGAGTATGCCATTCTGTTCTTCTGAAAAATACTACATTTTCTTCATATCATGTGTATTTAGACCTGTCTAAAATAAATAAAGGATTTAATGTGGTGGTGTAGGCTATATTACATGGATTTATTCGACTTTTTAAATGTAGATGTTCCAAAGCTTTTCACGATAAAGTCTACATCTGTTGTATTCTGCGCATGTGACAAATTGATCTGAGCTTTGAGCAGCTAGGCTGTGTTCAGTGAGGAACACAAACGGAGAGAGAAAGACCGATATAGCTAGGCTACTTCCACCATTTTACTTTGAGCTACCGTTAGCATTATAGCTAGGCTACTTCCACCATTTTACTTTGAGCTACCGTTAGCATTATAGCTAGGCTACTTCCACCATTTTACTTTGAGCTACCGTTAGCATTATAGCTAGGCTACTTCCACCATTTTACTTTGAGCTACCGTTAGCATTATAGATAGGCTACTTCCACCATTTTACTTTGAGCTACCGTTAGCATTATAGCTAGGCTACTTCCACCATTTTACTTTGAGCTACCGTTAGTATTATAGCTAGGCCTCCTCCACCATTTTACTTTGAGCTACCGTTAGCATTATAGCTAGGCCTCTTCCACCATTTTACTTTGAGCTACCATTAGCATCATAGCTAGGCTACTTCCACCATTTTACTTTCACCCTCTCCAACCCCTTCACCTCAGTGTCTAGTGAGGAGTACAAACGGAGAGAGAAAGAGAGAACATCTATATGATCTAAATAACCACTGAATACATAAAATGGTGGTACCTTAACTAGGCTTAACTCTCACCATCTTACTTCAGATAACTAACCTTACAACTTGCTCTAAGTAGTAGGTAGTATCCCGTAAGCAAAATAATAATTTGTGAACCACACAGGAAAAAACAAACAAAAAAATGTCTACCTAGTAAAAGTACAAAGTTCACCCTGTTACATTAGGAACTGTTTCAAATCAGTGGAGAGTGAAGAACACAAACAGGAAGTGAAGAGCAGGAAGTGAAGAGGTTAAACAGGAAAGAGAGGTAGAGAAGAAAGGAGAGAACAGAGAAGACAGGAAGCCAGTGGAATGAGGAGGAAGTATAACTCCTGTGTTCTGACCTTGTCGGCCATGATCATGGAGGATCCCCCGTACACCCCCAGGACAGGAAGTGATGTTTGAGAGGACAGGAAGTCCAGGATCTGAGAGATAGCTTCCTGGTCCGTCCCGTCAGCGAAGACAAGACCATGGAGAGGCTTCCTCTGGAGCAGCTCACACACCTGGTATCACACACACACAGGTAGGTGTTACACACACACACACCTGGTATCACACACACACAGGTAGGTGTTACACACACACACACCTGGTATCACACACACACAGGTAGGTGTTACACACACACACACCTGGTATCACACACACACAGGTAGGTGTTACACACACACACACACCTGGTATCACACACACACAGGTAGGTGTTACACACACCTGGTATCACACACACACAGGTAGGTGTTACACACACACACCTGAGGGTTCAGACAAAGCCATCCCACATACAAGTCCACCCGCCCAACATGCTGGTTTCCCCCCCCTACCTACCTGTGTGATGACAGTCTTGGGGTCTGTCTGGTTGATTCTCAGGGTGGTGACGGTCAGCTCCAGAGGGTAGTCGTTCTGCCTTACCGGGATTATATCCTGGTCACTGATTGGCCGCGTCTGACCCAAGACCACCCCCACGCTCAGCCCAGGTGGCTTCTGGGCCGCTGCCGGAACGCTGATCTGGGAGAGCAGGGCTGGGAGGGTGAGGAGGACCCAGCCCAACCGGCCCATAGTGGAACCCTGTGGAACACACAGTTACTGCTCAGTGGGGACCTTGGTCAGAGCAACACCTCACTCACTCCCACTGACTGGCCTTAACACACACACACACACACAGACACACACAGACACACACAGACACAGACACACAGACACACAGACACACAGACACACAGACACACAGACACACACAGACACACAGACACACACAGACACACAGACACACAGACACACAGACACACACAGACACACAGACACACAGACACACACAGACACACAGACACACAGACACACAGACACACACAGACACACAGACACACACACACACACAGACACACAGACACACACACACACACACACACACACACACACACACACACACACACACACACACACACATACACACACAGACACACACACACACAGACACAGACACACAGACACACACAGACACACAGACACACACACATACACACACACACACACACACAGACACAGACACACAGACACACACAGACACACAGACACACACACAGACACACACAGACACACACACACACACACACACAAAGACACAAGTATTTGGCATGCGGTAGTTCACCCCTCCTAATCAATATTGGCTTGGTGATTGGAATGTGTAGATGGTAGAGAAGTCATTGATTGATCAGCCTGGCTCTGTGAGGTAGATAGGTCAATGATTAATCGAGCCTGGCTCTGTGAGGTAGGTAGGTCATTGATTGATCGAGCCTGGCTATGTGAGGTAGGTAGGTCATTGATTGATCGAGCCTATCTCTGTGAGGTAGGTAGGTCAATGATTGATCAAGCCTGGCACTGTGAGGTAGGTAGGTCATTGATTGATCGAGCCTAGCTCTGTGAGGTAGGTAGGTCATTGATTGATTGAATGGTCTGTGAGGTAGGTAGGTCATTGATTGATCGAGCCTGGCTCTGTGAGGTATGTCATTGATTGATTGATTTGTCTGTGAGGTAGGTAGGTAATTGATTGATGGAGCCTGGCTCTGTGAGGTAGGTAGGTTATTGATTGATTGAGCCTGGCTCTGTGGGGTAGGTAGGTCATTGATTGAGCCTAGCTCTGTGAGGTAGGTAGGTCATTGATTGATCGAGCCTAGCTCTGTGAGGTAGGTAGGTCATTGATTGATCGAGCCTGGCTCTGTGAGGTATGTCATTGATTGATTGATTTGTCTGTGAGGTAGGTAGGTAATTGATTGATGGAGCCTGGCTCTGTGAGGTAGGTAGGTTATTGATTGATTGAGCCTGGCTCTGTGAGGTAGGTAGGTCATTGATTGAGCCTAGCTCTGTGAGGTAGGTAGGTCATTGATTGATCGAGCCTAGCTCTGTGAGGTAGGTAGGTCATTGATTGATTGAATGGTCTGTGAGGTAGGTAGGTCATTGATTGATCGAGCCTGGCTCTGTGAGGTATGTCATTGATTGATTGATTTGTCTGTGAGGTAGGTAGGTAATTGATTGATGGAGCCTGGCTCTGTGAGGTAGGTAGGTTATTGATTGATTGAGCCTGGCTCTGTGAGGTAGGTAGGTCATTGATTGAGCCTAGCTCTGTGAGGTAGGTAGGTCATTGATTGATCGAGCCTAGCTCTGTGAGGTAGGTAGGTCATTGATTGATTCAAAGCGTCGTGAAGAGGTAGGTCTTTTTTGATGATTGTGACCCGGGGCTCTGTGGGTTAAGGTAGGTCATTGTTTGATTGATGGTTGCGAGGTAGGTAGGTATTGATTGATGGAGCCTGGCTCTGTGAGGTAGGTGGGGTCATTGATGATTGATTGGCTGGTAGGGGAGGTCATTGATTGATTGAGCATGGCTTGTGAGGTGGAGAGGTATGATTGATGGAGCTGGTCGTGAGGAAAGTAGGTATTGATTGATTGATTGAGCCTGGCTCTGTGAGGTAGGTAGGTCATTGATTGATGGAGCCTGGCTCTGAGCTCTGCCTTTGTGATATTAACTAAATACTGGAGGTAGGGGAATACCCTTTTCTAGTTTTTTTTTCAATACTGGAGGTAAGAGGAGTATCTTTTCCACTCTCTTCTCTCTTCCTCTTCTCTATCTTTCTCTCTTCTTCGTTCTTTTTCTCTCTTCTTTTTTCCCTCTCTCTCTCCCCCTCTCTCTCTTCTCCTCTCTCCTTCTCTCTCTCTCTCTCAATTCAATTCAATTTAAGGGCTTTATTGGCATGGGAAACGTATGTTAACATTGCCAAAGCAAGTGAAGTAGATAATAAACAAAAGTGAAATAAACAATAAACATTAACAGTAAACATTACACTCAGAAGTTCCAAAAGAATAAAGACATTTCAAATGTCATATTATGTCTATATACAGTGTTGTAACAATGTGCAAATAGTTAAAGTACAAATGGGAAAATAAATCAACATAAATATGGGTTGTATTTACAATGGTGTTTGTTCTTCACTGGTTACCCTTTTCTTTTGGCAACAGGTCACAAATCTTGCAGCTGTGATGGCACACTGTGGTTTTTCACCCAGTAGATAAGGGAGTTTAATAAAATTGGGTTTGTTTTCGAATTCTTTGTGGATCTCTGTAATCTGAGGGAAATATGTGTCTCTAATACGGTCATACATTTGGCAGGAGGTTAGGAAGTGCAGCTCAGTTTCCACCTCATTTTGTGGGCAGTGTGCACATAGCCTGTCTTCTCTTGAAAGCCAGGTCTGCCTACGGCGGCCTCTCTCAATAGCAAGGCTATGCTCACTAAGTCTGTACATAGTCAAAGCTTTCCTTAAGTTTGGGTCAGTCACAGTGGTCAGGTATTCTCCCACTGTGTACTCTCTGTTTAGAGCCAAATAGAATTCTAGTTTGCGCTGTTTTTTTGTTAATTCTTTTCAATGTGTCTGATTCCCTCTACAGTAACCCAGTAGACTGTATCCCTCTAAACCTTTCTCTGTCTGTCTGTCTGTCTGTCTGTCTGTCTGTCTGTCTGTCTGTCTGTCTGTCTGTCTGTCTGTCTGTCTGTCTGTCTGTCTGTCTGTCTGTCTGTCTGTCTGTCTGTCTGTCTGTCTGTCTGTCTGTCTGTCTGTCTGACTATGTATCAACACTGTCCAGAACCCTGACCCCATCCCACCCCTCTATAGTTGACTAGTTTAGAGACAGTTGGTATCAACACACTGTCCAGAACCCTGACCCCATCCCACCCCCTCTATAGTTGACTAGTTTAGAGACAGTTGGTATCAACCACACTGTCCAGAACCCGGACCCCATCCCACCCCTCTATAGTTGACTAGTTTAGAGACAGTTGGTATTCAACACACTGTCCAGAACCCTGACCCCATCCCACCCCTCTTAGTTGACTAGTTTAGAGACAGTTTGGTATCAACACACTGTCCAGAACCCTGACCCCATCCCACCCCTCTATAGTTGACTAGTTTAGAGACAGTTGGTATCAACACACTGTCCAGAACCCTGACCCCATCCCACCCCTCTATAGTTGACTAGTTTAGAGACAGTTGGTATCAACACACTGTCCAGAACCCTGACCCCATCCCACCCCTCTATAGTTGACTAGTTAGAGACAGTTGGTATCAACACACTGTCCAGAACCCTGACCCCATCCCACCCCTCTATAGTTGACTAGTTTAGAGACAGGTGGTATCAACACACTGTCCAGAACCCTGACCCCATCCCACCCCTCTATAGTTGACTAGTTTAGAGGACGGTTGGTATCAACACACTGTCCAGAACCCTGACCCCATCCCACCCCTCTATAGTTGACTAGTTTAGAGACAGTTGGTATCAACACACTGTCCAGAACCCATGACCCCATCCCACCCCTCTATAGTTGACTAGTTTAGAGACAGTTGGTATCAACCACTGTCCAGAACCCTGACCCATCCCACCCCTCTATAGTTGACTAGTTTAGAGACAGTTGGTATCAACACACTGTCCAGAACCCTGACCCCATCCCACCCCTCTATAGATAAGTCTTAATCGATTACTCTTAATGGAAAATCAACCAGCCTGAGCAGAATAATTGAATAATAATTGAATCAGTCCATCAGTTAACTGCCCTGGTTATGATGAGGATTAATAAACTATCACAACTGTTTGGCTGTTAGACATATAATAATATTGGATCAATTTATTCATATCATATTTGATCAATTTGTTTATGTTATATTTCATCACGGAATTTAAAATGATGTTTTTCCATAAAGCGATCAGACCAATGAACATCTGGGGCTGCATGACATATTAGTCCCCGGGGCGTCTGGTTGGGTATCAGGGCTGTGTGTGTGTGTGTGTGTGTGTGTGTGTGTTTGTCAAGAGGCTGTCAGGGCTCTCCTCCTCTCTTGTGTTAGTTAGAGGGACTGAAAGAAGCTAATAGGTGGAAGCAATTTGGTAGGAGATGCCTCCAGCTCATTGGACCATTAGATGTTCACTGTGAATAAATGTTCTCTCTCTCTCTCTCTCTCCATCCCTCTCGCTCCATCTGTCTGAATTTACTCTCTCTCTCTCTCTCTCTCTCTCTCTCTCTCTCTCTCTCTCTCTCTCTCTCTCTCTCTCTCTCTCTCTGTCTCTCTCTCTCTCTCTTTTTCTCTCTCTCTCTCTCTCTCTCTCCCTCTCTCTTTCCTTCTCTCTCTCCTTCTCTTACGGCCCAATTGTCTCCTCTTCTCTTCACCCTCCTGTCTAATGAGGACATTAGTTAGCCAGCCGTCACTCCCCTCTCTCTGTTTATCCCTTCCCTGCTCCTCTCCTCCTCCCCTCCTCCTCTCCTTTGCTTTCACTGCCCTACTGCCCCCTGGCCACACCCCTGGCAGCCTGCAGCAGCAGCAGCAGTCACTTTAGCATACGCCGCTAAATGAGCTGCCACTACGCTAGCGTCACAGAGCATTCTCTTCAGCTCTAAGCGATGGGCCCCTTCACACTCACTTCCAGTGGAGTTGGTAGCATCAGCGCTACGCTAACAGATAATAGCAACCGCTCGTAGTCACTTCTCATAGCATTAGCGTCAGCGCCAGCCGACGGGCTCCGTT